CGGCGCGGGTGGGGTGGTGGGATCTTGAAAAATCGGCGCGGGTGGGGGGTTGGATCTTCAAAAGTCGGCGTGGGTGGGGGGTTGGATCTTGAAAAGTCGGCGTTGTTCGGCAGCCGGACCACACCGACTTTGATCATTTCAAGACGTACGTTTTGATTCCACCCACACCGACTTTGATCATAGCTAGCGTCCACAAAGTCAGTGTGGTCCGGCTGCCGGACCACAAGGACTTTGCTTACCTTTAGTAGACCCACAGTGACTTTGGAGATTTCAGAAAATTGGACTTTCGGCGTGGGTCTAGCTAGGGTGGTCATAAGTCGGCGTGGTTCGGCTGCTGGACCACACTGACTTTGTTGACGCTAGCTATGATCAAAGTCGGCGTGGGTGGAATCAACACGTACGTCTTGGAATCTCAAACTTACAGTATTTTGTTCGATTTTGTTCTGGTTTGCTCTTCGCTGCTGTTGTTGGAGCTTTGATTGCTCACAGAGCTAAGGCTAGTCTTTGCCACTCACTTTGCTTTCTCTTCTCACCTTGGTGGATTTGGTGGTTGAAAAAACAAGGGTTTGTGCTCAACCATGGGTGGCTATTTGCTCAACTTGCCCAGCACTTTTCAGGCCAAGCCATATTCAGTCAACAGCAATTGCTGGGCTTCGGTCTGGGCAACTATTATTCCTGATACTGGTTTCTCAACAAAAGTTTAATCTTTGCTTTTAAATCAAGAAGCTGCTCTGAACATGATTGCCCTTCAAGCTCTAATTTACCCTCGCCCGAAGCCCCGACGCCAAACAACCCGAAGTGGAATGCTTGGACTCAAAACAGCCAAGACAACAGGGTGCAGCTCTTCTCGAGCTACCACTGGTGGATCAAACCCGGGAGCCTCCGAATGCCAATGTAGAGGAAGCAGGTCGTGCCGTGGTAAAGCATTGTCAGCTAGGAGCCGAAGATAAGTTGCTGCCCTGGTGCTTTGCGGGGTTCCACCCAGAAGGTCCTGGAAGATGTTAGCAAGGTCTCGCCAACTCTGCTGCAACTTTCCTTTCACTTCCCTGAATGGCATTTCACCTTGGGTTGGATGCTTTGGGAGTGGGCTCGAAGTTGTGATCTCATCTTAAAAAATGAACAACAAATCTAAAAAAGTTATAGCTCAGTTATGTTTGGAGACTGTTGCAGACCAAAGGGTATGAATCGCGTGTCTCTGCTGTCAGCGCAAGCAATGGTTGTTGACGGATATTGGTTGAGCAAATGTACTCCTTCACCACCACAAACACATCATTTGGACTCTTGGGGCGGTGGCGGCTCATCGTCCCTTCATTTTGTTCAAGGCTTTCTGGAAGGTCTCAGGGAAGATGCACTTCTGCAATAGAGACAGCCTTTAACACTTTAGTAGCTTTTGGAGTTTTGTGTTTTCTTTGTATAACATAACATCATTGAGCTTTGAAACACAGCACCTTTCCGCAGCAAGAAGAAGAAGAAGTGGTTGGCAGTCTTGTCCAACAGGAGCCCTCCTTCCTCAAGTGTTGTATGACTTGGTTGGTATGTGTGATGTTTGAGCTGCAGCAAACAGAGCTGTAACTAAAACTCTATGTACATCTTGATGGCAAAACAAGTTGTTTTTTCTGAGGGTCAAAGCTGGAAGGAGAATACTGCTCCCAATGGGCTTTCCAGTTTCTGTATCTTCTCAGGACGTGCACATAGACCTCACCATTCACCCACTTCTTCATGGATCCTTGAGTCAACTCATTCTGGAGAATCTGGCAACAATCATCTGCGTCAACCATATTGCTGCGTGCCAGCCTCCGTGATAGCACACCCCACATCTGGTCTCAGTTGGCAAGGTCGGGAAGCGTGCAGACAGGCAAGACGTGGAGCCACAATTACAAATAACAAGAAGGTGAAAAAGGAAAAACATCTATGATGTGAGGAAGTTACCAATGATGTCGTGTGTGTGGCTAACACGGAGCATCATTAGGCATCCGTACCTGCAAGAAGTGATGTAAGCCCGGATCAACAAAAAGCATCCAAAAACAAAACCCAACTGGTGCAAAGCAAATGAACACACATATAGAAAAAAAAGGTGTGCTGGTTTGGATCTAGTAGCTGGATTTTGTGATGAAGTACTAAAGAGGCCATCGCTGTCAGGTTGTAGCGATTCTTCAGCTCTTTTACAGTGTTGTCCCCCACCAGGACGAATGTATTGGGCCTGGTGGGTCCGCAGTGTCTCATTATATCTTCCAGCCCAAGGGCCACAACTTCCTGGACAAGACTTGATCCGTGGTAGGAGTTTTCCTCGATGATGCTGATTCTCAAACAGCAGTTGAAGCACCAAAAGCCTTGAAGCTTAAGCCTCGGCCTGACATACTTGGAGGAGCGGTAACAGGCCCGTAGTGTGGGGTCTCTGGGGACCATGTACTTGGCCTTGGATATGACCAATCCAGCTGAACATTGCAAGTGTGGAAACAACAAGGCACTTGAGACACAGTATAAAAATTTTTCTGAAGAAAATGCATAAAAGCACTTGGTCAGCCCCATCCGTGATGCACACAGCCAATTTGCTCATTTGTTCCATGGAAATATCCTTCAAAGACCATAGGCTGCACCGGTCTGCGTATTGGTCTATCAGGTGACTCCGATACAATTTGAGACTGCCCAAGCGAATGTCAATGGGCAGGCTCTTGTCTTGAAACCTGTTCTTGTGGCTGAGGAGGGTTTGCCTATCATCCAACACATGTTGGTTCAAACAGTGACAAGAAAGAAAAGTGAACACTAAGCCAGGCAACTGCTCTTTCAGCTCCTGGCATATGTCGCATTGTGAGAAGTTGGAACGTTGTCGAAATTTCATCACCAAGGTCCAATGACTGTTCCACCTCCTCAAAAAAGTTGTATACCTCAACTCATGCTACTTCAAACATGTTCAAGCAAAGTTGCAACTTTTTAGGCTGTTCTAAGGGCAAACCAAAGCAATTGCAAAACTTGTATAGTGTAGGAGCCTGGACACGATGCCTGACGTTCAATAGAGTGCACAGTGCACCAGCCACAGTAGTACTGGTACAGTTCATACAGTGTGCCGGGAGGCAAATACTTTCGTGCAAGCCGAGAAAGATCCTGGACTGACAGGTAGTATCAGAAGAGTGCTTACAAACTACTGCAATCTATATTTAAAAAATTATTTTGTTGGGGTGAGCAACAATAGACAAAACTTGTATATAAGAGTTATTCTCAAAGTGTCAGAAAAGCCAGCTGTAGCACTCATTTGCAGAACGAAGTCAGTGTTGCTCTGAAGGAAGTTCAAGAGCTCACTGTCATTGTTGTCCTCCTGACAAGATCCATGCTCCACCCCACCTTCCCAAGCATCTGAATTCTCATCCTCAACAGACTTGACCTTTTGCTTTGGCCCTTTTGCACGTCCAATCCGCACAAACCTTACACACTGGGTGTGCACACAAAGCAGCCAATGATAAAACAAAAACCATTCAAAAAAAAAGAACAAGTACAGTTGTGAAACTAAATATGGACATCCAGAAACCGATCTGGGAGTGGCTCTGCCAAGCTGTTGTATGTGATCATGGCAAACGAGTCAATGCTTGCTGTGAGCTGTGACGGTCGGCAGTTTGCTCGTGCTCCACGGTAACCTAAAGCTGAATGCACAGTGCATATAGTGAAGCAATCTACTGGTACAAAATCAGAAAGCATAGGCAAAATATAAGTGATGATTCTTATGGAAGGAGCGCAGGTCAATTGATCCAAGTTTGTCCACGCGGTGGCTTCCCAAACCAAGGAGTGCTTGAAAGCATACTCTTCTGATTGGCTTTCCCAAAAACTTGTATTCTTTCCGACCATCTGGGAGTGCCCCTAGCGCTTTCTGGTCATCTTGTTCATCAAAGCAGGCCAAAAACAAGATTGTGTCCTGTTCACGTTTGTTGCATTTCTCGAACTGGTCTAGGAATGCTTTGCACTCCTGCAGTTTGAACTGAGCAAAGCATTCACCATCTCGGCATCGGCAACGGCCACGCAGCAAAGGTTCCAGTCGCTCCTCAGCAAAACAAAACAATCTTGCTGGCTCTACTTTGAAGCAAACACCAACATGAAGCACTCAAAGAAAAAACAAAGCTGCTTTGGAGTAAAGGCCGTGCTTCTGTACTGTTTCTTGCAAGCCTGACCTCTTTTTGTTGTGCCTTTTGCTCTTTCAGTTTCTTGGCTTCGGCTGCAGCTGCTGCTCGTTTTGAATTATTGTAACATCTCTTTTTTTTGGAAGGTTCTGATGGTGTCTCAGAAGCATCTGACACAATTCTGCTCAGATGTGTGGAAAGAAACTTTGACATTGTCTTGAAAGACAAGTCAACAAGTGATCGATGGCCCTCGTCCACTTCATCATAGTCACCCTCATATGCTGAAGAGTCTGTGCCGGGCTGGGAATCTACATCACTTTCATCTGGCTCGTCGCCAAACAACTGTGGTTGTGGCTGTGGATTGTCAGCCTCAACTTCATCCTCCTCTGTTCTCAAAAGGTTCAAACCATTGTTCAAACCATCATCATTGATCTCGACCTCAGGCTCACTGTCCTCATCTTGGAAGAGGACTGGGGATGGCTCATCACACTCCTCTCGCAGGAGGTGGGCCATGGGGTTGAGCTAGCCATGACAGCGAGATACGGCAAGCGTGACGCAAGTGTCAATTGCTTGACAAATTGCCCACAATCAATTGACAAGGAACATGTGTGAGTTCAATGGTATTGTGTTGCAGTGCGTTGAGGAAACAAACTAGCTGAGCCAGCCTGGTCAGACATGTAAAGAGAGAGGCAGCAACGCTTAAAGGTGGGAATCACACTTCACTGATGCATCCAGTTCCCACTGATTGAGGGCTGTACTGAATGCGTGCCCTCTTCTGCAAGGGGTCCAACTCCTGGACAAAGAGGGAGGGTGAACTAAAGGTTCATAACAAACACTATATCAGTCCTCCTGCTTCTCCAAGCAAACCAATGCCTGGCCGGCATGAGTCTGAGTGTGTGTTTCATGATTGGTGGGAAATCAATGCCGAAGGCACGCAGAGGAGGACAAAGCCCACTGATGCAACCTCCATCCCATTTCCAGCCATAGTAACCTTTCAAGGTGCCCAGCACGCAAACAGACTCAAGAGTGGATCATGCACAGGCCTGCCTTGGCACGTGAGGATATAGCACCAACATGTGCTTTGCACGTTCTGGTGTGCTCTGCCTGCTTGTCTGAAGTAGGCATGCCCATAATGGCCAACATTTCATCTCCAAGCAATGGGCGGGAATGCTTTTGGGACCACCTAGGATAAAATTGCAAGTCGGGAAGCATCGCATAACAACATTTTGAGAAGCAATTGATGCATGCAATGACATGAAGTTGAGGCAAAGTGCAGCATAGAACTTGATGTGGTAAATGTGGGCAGCGACCCGTCAGCAGCACTGCATCGTCCCCGATTGGCGCCAGGGTTTTGCGACAAGTCCTTGTTTGATTTGAATCAATATCTTTCTGAACAACTTCGAACATGTCAGCAAACATACAGCAAGTGAATTGACATGTTCACTCAAATCAGACAAAGATTCCCACACCAACCGATCTGCCGATGTTTGTTTGTAAAGTGCCTTGAATTCGGAGGCGGATGCTGATAGGCCAATATCAAAGAGGTCGCATTGGCCGCAGGCAGCAACCTGCTATGGACAATTTGCAATGGGCAACAAATCATGGAGCAAGAAAACGTTGTGCATATCTTAAACTTTGCTGCTATAAGAAACAAGCTCCGAGTTGGTCATATAGTAGAGGCTGTCGGAGGTAAGGTTCAATGGTTTCAAAGGGCAGGTGAGCTTGAGAATCTGCCGCGTGGAAGGTCCATGCCAAGTATACAGGTTCTTCCGGAAGAAGAGGCGATAGATTCTCAATCTGGAGCAGGGTTGCCAAACATAGGAGGAAGGTTTTAAGGTAGATCTTCAACACGCACACAAGTCTAACCTACATCCCTCCCTACCCCACCGATTCAATGGCTTCCCAAAGCGCTGCGGCGAAATCAACGAGGACTGCTCACCATACCACTGATGAAGAGGAGTGAGAACTTCTGCAGGGAACTGCTGCACGTTCTCGTGAGCGAACCAATCCAACCTGGGCTACGCTTGCAACCCCAATGTGTTTTTGCGCGATGAGGCAATACATTTACCAAAAACAATCAAAGTCTGTATGCCTGGTCTGTCATAAGTAACTTCGCATCGAGCTTGTCCTTCAACCACACCTCGTGGAGCTTCTTTTGTTTTGTATTGTTCATGCCTTCTTTTTTGCCAATCCTGCGTATAGCAAATCATGTGTCTGGATCAGAAACTAAGGTTTGAACAAAACAAACACAAAGCAAACACAAGGACCAAAGAAACAACAAAAAGGCTACTGTGTCAGAAGCAGGTGTCAGAGAAAAGGCCACGCACGGTGGACCGTCCGTAGCAGCTTTTGCTCCAGCACTGCTGTCCGTTGGGAGCTTCCGTGCACACTGTTTCTGATGTGTAAGGCAGTTCGCATTGGAAACCTGGGTTAGGGAATGTTTCTTTATATATATATAAATTATGTCTTAAAAAATGTCAGTATACTTGTTCACAACAATGTAGCAAAACTTGCCAGGTTTTTTTTTGCAAGTTACCAGCTTCATTCTGTCAAAAGGTTGGTCTGAATCTTTGACAAAGTCGAGGATGTTCTCAAACATGCACCGGTTTGGAAAATTGGATTTGACGAACCTTGGATCCAAAAGATAGAGATAAGAAGACAAGAGTTGGATTTTATGTGGCAACGGTCTTGAAAACCAGAAAAAAAATGCACAAGGCTCTTCTGCAGCAAGGGTCTTCTTGGAATGGGTGGCAATATCACAAGCACGTCCGATCTTCCAGCCCAAGTCAAATCCATACCTGGATCCCAATGGTTGTTTTCCATCTAACTGCCTTCATTACAAGGCCATTGCTTGAAAGGGCATAAACATTGAGAAAACGCACTAAGATGTTGTATGATCAAGTTTCCTGTGCTTGATGGCGCCCTTGAGTTGGTCCATGGCACAGGAAGCAAAGTCGCCTCCAGTGAAGAATGCATCCATTGTGAAATCTGCTTCTTCAAGCTTTGCCCGCACTGTCTCCGCACCAAAGAGCTGCCTTTCCAAATTGAACAACCAAGCCAATTGGACTGCAATTGGAAAGGTGACCAAAGAAAGAAACAGGGTATTGAATGAGCCAAGAATCTCAAATCGGACCAGCAATCTGCTTGCCCAACTGAAGAGCTCTAGAAAGGTAGTTGGGTTTGGTGGCCTCAAATGATTTGTCCATCGCTCAGTGGACAATCAAAGACCTGCCATCAAACTTGAACGGGACGGCTTTTCCAAAACAAGTTAAGTGCAACCAAGGATCCCTGGACCCATTCTTTCTTTCAACATATGGAACGTTGACCCCTCGTCCGCTTCTGGGTTGTCATTGTCTGGCGGAGGACGACGGGGCTTGCCTGAACTTTGGAGTGCTGTACAATGTCAAGGTGTCTTTTTCTGCTCATTGACCATTGAAAAAGAATCTGCAAACAGTTCAGGTGCCTGTTGGGGCTTCAGTCTCATCAATCTCACTCTCCTCATCTTGAAACAGTCTTGGGGCCTCCAGGGTGCTCAGGTCACGTTGACGGTGTGTGTATGCAAAAATATATTTATACACAATATTTATGTAAAATTGTAGAAGCACTTCCAAAGGTTAAAGCTGTTTCCACTTTGAACACGCGGCCTGTGTATCATTGTCAGATTCTGAATCTAAAAGGTGGCGAGGCATGGTGACGTCGCTGGGTGGATTGTACAGGGCCAAGGCTGCAACAAAACTCAAGTGTACAGCATACAAGATCAACACTTACAATTGATGGGTGGGTGATCAAACGGAACTAACATTAGTTGCCAGTGGCTATAGCCCTTCTTTTCCAACATCTTCCAATTGAAGTCACTTGAAGTGCTCCCATGTCTGCAGGTCACCTTGTTGCCCATTAGGCATGCAGGTGACACAAGGTTTGCTGAATTGAAAAAGAAATATCAACAAGAGGTTAGCCGAGCATCTGATCCAGTGGCAGGCGGTCACAAAATCGTGGAATAATGGCAGCCCATCCTTGAGTGATGTTTGTGCCCTTTGGACACCTAGCCAACCCATCCACAAACTATGAAAGCTTTTAACAGATGCTAATCTCCAACCAGTTGCACAATGGCTAGATGGCAGGATCAACGGCGTTGAAAGCAGCCCTTCTTTCTGGCCCATCTGGGAGAATGTCTGCATAGCGGTAGTTCCTTAGGGTGCGCAGCCATCACATGCCATACCTCAATGTCTGAAGGAAAATACCCAAAGAGTTCCTGACAGCCTGACAGCAGGCAAAACTGACTTTAGCTGGAACTAGTTTCATATCATACGTCGTGTTTTCTTCTGTCATGTTCCTGTTTCTCAGCCTGAATGCAGTTATGGTAGCATGTCCTCCAGGCAAGCCATCCGAATCCTTTTCGGGAATAGTGATGTATGCTGCCATCCATGGATCTTCAAAATGATAGATTCGAGCAATGGTGCAACCAGGAACCGGCTTCAAGTAAGGATTGCGATATGCCATGGCCTGTGCAGCTGAAGTTTCAATAGCCAAAAAAACTTCAAACGCCTGTACTGTAGTTGGCAACTGTTCATCCCAGCAAATGATTGAAACATTGACCACACACATTCAAAAACAAAACGACTCAAGCTGCGCAACGGCTCATCCACATACTTCTTGTAGGTTGCACGGAGGATGTCGATCTGTCCGAACTGGTATGGTGTCAAAGCCTTCCAACGAAGATGTTCCTGATCAACGTGGCGCTTAATCTCCTCTTTCGTGGGGTATGGCTTCTCTGTCAGCTCCCTCAACGTGGACCAGGTAAAGGTCATCCATTCATAGACGCCCACAGGAAATTGGCCGGAATGGCCCCACACTATGCCTGGTATTGCTAATTAGGTATTAAGTTCAGTCATGTAAAAGCTTTGCAAATCGCAGATTGTTGAACACGTTGCAAATTACAACGAAAAATAAAATATACAATGTCACAACCTAGTCACCCAGGATTTCCTCTTGGGTCTCAATACGAGACAAGGCCAAATACACCCCAGGTGTCCATGACTTGAACTGCTTCAACACATGGGGCAACAAGCACTTCTGTGGAAGCTTCGGAAGCTTCGGAACTGGCAGCCGTGACTGCTTGGGTGCCATTTGAGCAAAAGACTCGACGGGCCTTCTCTCGAGAACAGTGCTCATCTTCCACAAACATGGCAAACATGCAACCCTTCTCTACTAAATAAAGTTACTTCGAGTGATCTCCACCCCCAGAGTTTTATTAGATGCCCTCTGGGTGGCCCTTTCATATGTCTTTTTCCTGATCATATCCTGCAATATAGGCACGGGTGTAGAGCAAATGATAGCAAAATTTGATAGCAAAACCTTTGATACTGCTAGTTCAGTACCAGCTGGATACTGATAGCAAGGCCTACTCCAAGCCATATCTTTGACAGCTGATCATTCTAATTTGACAGCTGGTTAAAATGAATTTAACTTTGCAGCAGATGTCTGTCCCAGCAGACTTGAGGTGTCACGAAGAACCATCGCTCTGTGTCCAGGCCGGTGAATGTTGCGGCATGGATGCGAAGATGATGATGGCCGCGGGGAAAGAGCTTTTCATCTCGCACCTCCGGCCAGTACCAAGGACCTGCGTACACTGCCTTGCACCGACTGCATCGCAGACACAGCAGGTGTCCAGCCTGCAAGCCGAGAGTGAATGTAAAGCATTCGTTGGAATGCATTGCCATCGAAAAAGCACGCCGCCATCCAGTGGACAGACCCCTTTCTGCCAGGCAGGCACGTAGGGTAAGGTCTGCAAAGCCTCGTGGGAGTCGGGGCGCAAAGCGAGGCCACTGGCCGGCGCTTGTGTGACCGCGATGGACGCTGGGCATTGCTGCAGCAGGCGGTCGTAGATGAGGTTTATCTGCTCCAAGGTTGCATTGTATCCAAAATTGGTTCGCAAGAGTTGCTGCGCCAAAGCTGCGCGACCGGGTGCGTCAGCGACGTTGTATGCCAAAGTCAGCATGCCCAGGTGCTCCGGCTGCAACGGCGCGAGCAGTGCCAGGAAGGACGCGACCGGTGGCAATGGAAGCGACATGCGGGCAACGCAGCACAGACTCGAAGCAGCAAAACGGCTGCATATGTACGGCTACGATGTGTGCTCGACAGGTGTCGACGAGAAAAAGCAAAAACCAATGGAATCCACGAACTGCAGGCTTTGAACACAAAAACGGCTGCCTGCCAGGCCACGAGAAAAAGCCACCCCAGTGAATGGAAGTCAGTGCTCCATGTTTTGTCTGTCTCCGAGCCCAGTGCCGCGGACAAAAAAAGACTAGGACTAGGACGCGACCTCACCAGCTAGCGTGCAAAAGCTGCTAATTGCCAAAGCCACCATGCTCAACGGGTGGGTGGGCAGGTCCAGCAGGAGCACCAGCAGGAGGCTGTGGAGGGTGTGTGATGTCGTAGCCCAACGTCTCCAAAGACTCCTTCCACGTCTCTGCCTGCACAGGGATCCAGGCACCAACGGAAGGTGCTCGAGGAGGCACGGCGGTCTCTGCCAGCGTCCCTTGGCAATAAGCATCCCACAGCTTCCCAGGCACACCTTTGTCAATGGCCAATTCTGCAGAAAACCACCCACGCACGCCATCAATTTCCGGCTCGGCTGCGAAAAAAGATCCACGGTTCTGGGGCTGAGAAGCTGCATGCCCCGCAGCAGCAAGGGACCCACCCCCAGCCAGCCCTTTCCGCAGCAATGGCTTCGTGTTTTGGTCCTTCATTGCCTCGGTCTCAACCTCGAACATCCTCTGGTATAGCTTTTCCATGGCTTGGGAGACAACACGGATGACACCAGAAGAGTTCGTTGCACCGGGATGGCACAAGCAAATCCATAGAGTTGAAGGCACCAAAATGCTGGGGCACAATTCCATGCGATCCCGTGGAGACAGTTGCCCGCAACAAGCAGCCAGCGCCAAAGTAAACCAAATCCAATGGACACTCTGCGTGTTGGCAAGCATCTGTGAAACTGCCACGACCTCAGGGAGTAAGGCTTTCGCCTTGGCTTCATCTGGAAGTGGCACTTGTCGAAATGCGTCTAACTGCACATTGAGGTTCGGTACCTCTTCTGCTTTGCGCTTCCGCTGCACAGCCATGATGCACGTGTAGAGGAGCGCTGGAGCGTCGTTGTACTCTTGAACACGGGACGGCTGGCAGAGGATGCGAGGATGTGGGGCTGAAAAGCTCCGAGCATGGCTTCACAAAACGGAGCGCCGGACCAGCACGGCATTGTCACGTTGAGGCTGCTGTAAGTACCTCTCCAGGAGAACGAGTTCCAACCACCCAACTGCATCGTGTCTGTTTGGGCAGAAAAGCTCCGAGCATAGCTGTAGAAAACTGAGAACCGGACCAGCACGGCATCGTCACGTTGAGGCTGCTGTAAGTACCTGTCCAGGAGAACGAGTTCCAACCACCCGACTGCATCTTTTTTCTTTGCGAACAGCTGCCCAACAACAGCACAGAGATGATGCTGAGTGTGAGCAGAAGCGAAAACTCCGTAGTATGCCCTGGACCTCGGCCGGCAACACCGCCCCCGGTACACGCTGGCAGCAGACTAGCGAGAGGAGGTGTAAGTCTGAGTGTGCCACAGCCGCAACGAAGAAGGGGGCTGCAGTACCTGGAGGGCGGCGGAGCGAGAACCTGTGGGCACTGGTTGCGTGGTACCGGCGCCGCGACATGCGCGGGTGGTGTGGTCCCAAAGATCTCGACCGACATGACACCCCTCGGCGCTGCTGCAAGTTCGTGACGAAACCGACACACCTAGAAAATTAGACGTGTGTAGGACGTAGGAGACCGACCACACGACGCACCGACGTAGCAGTCGAGGTCACCAGACATGCGTTGACATGTGTATGACGTCATGTATGTATCTGTGGGGAAACATACATCGGTAGGAAATGACAGGTATGTATGTCTGTTATGGGTATGTATGAGACATACGTTGCACAGTCGTCG